AGCTTGGGGTCATGTTATGGTGGTATGCTTATGAACTCACTTCCCTATTGTTCGTGTTTCCCACCTTTCTTAGTGATCTGGTCTTCTTGCAGACGAACTCAATGATCCACTCACTAGTGGAGTAGTCCGACTAGCAGATGGCGTTGCTGCAAATCTTTGAGGCAAAGACGAAGGCTTTAGAGGCCAAGGTGCATGTCATTGAGGCCATGACAGAACTATTGAAGGTCGTGGATTGTGCGAGGAAGTGGAGGCCGAGGCGAAGCGAAGGGACGAGCAGATTCGTGAGCTGATGAAGGAGGTCGAGGAGCATAAGACTTCCCTTGTCGACCGTGAGGCCATTTTAACTCAGGAGATCAAGGAGGTCGGAGCTCTTGCTGTCAAGGCTTATAAAGCTTCTCTAGAGTTCGACAAATTTGTACAAGATACTGCTACCTTGGCCTTTTGTAAGGGCTTTAAACTTTGTCATTGGTTGGCCAGGCGTGTGCTTCCTTAGCCCAACCTTGGACCACTAACCACTACTGGGGTTACTACGGAGATGGCGATCCAATCAGAGAAGGAAGACCCTGACTCCAAGGAAGAAGGCGATGATAGCGTCGGCGAGGAGTTTGGGGAGAAGTCGGGCAGTCTGGATGCAGTAGTCGACGAGGTCATGGAGACCGATGAGGTTATTGCTACAGATGAGTTTATGGAGGTTGAGCCAGCCAAGGACTCCAAGCATATCGATAGTGGGGGCGGGGAGCCCCATGAAGATTGATGTTTTGCCTCTTTCTCCCTCTCTCTCTCTTTTTTTTATTGTATTGGAACTACTTTTACAAAGTAATGAAATGCCACCTTTTTGTCACTTCGTGTACAATAACATATGTTTGCAAAAAATTTCAAAAAAGTATAGATTACCCCAAGGTGTTGAGGTGACGAGCTAAGCACAGTTAGGAGTGACCTGACGTTGATGTAAGTCGAGGTGAGCAGACACTGTAGGGTATAGGCCTAACCTGTTTGCGCACTGATGAAGTGTAAGCTGGACTTGTCCGTTGCCCATGCTTAGAAGTGACTAGGTCTTATTTTAGAACCGGGGTCACTTATTAGCTCGGTGCCATGGCCCTTGGGCATTGGGAGCGACTCATAGTCCACTCTCCTTTGTGTGACCTAACCAGCTCGCTGGTCTTCTAGATTTTGAAAAGTTTGTGGATGTCTTACTCTTGAGCTCATAGGTAGTACTTTTTCAAATTATCAATGTTCCAAGCACGAGACACCTGCTTCCCTTCCAGCGTCTCGAGTTCGTACGTACCTTCACCGAAAACCCGTCTCACCCTGTACTGACCCTCCTAGTTCGGTTCGAGCTTACCCACGTCGGGCTTAGGTACCATGACCTTCCAGAGTACTAAGTCGCCAACTCGGAACTGGTGCCTCTTGACCCGGGCATTGTAGTACCGAGCTACTCGCTATTAGTAGGTCATAGTCCGGATGTAGGCCAGGTTGCATACCTCTTCGATCAGGTCGAGGTTCATCCATAGTTCGCTGTCGTTGGCCTCCTTGTCATACGCCTCAAGCTGCAGGGTCGGTACTTCGATCTCGGTTAGGATGGCGGCCTCCGTACTATACGTAAAATTGAACGGTGTCTCACCTATTATAGTCTTGATAGTTGTTCTGTAGGCCCAAAGGACACTGGACAACTCGTCCGCCCACAAACCTTTAGCTCGCGCTAAGCGAGCTTTCAGTCCGCGGAGGATGGCCCTGTTCGTCACCTCGGCCTGTCCGTTTGCTTGCGAGTGTGCTACTGATGTGAAGTTTTGCTGGATCCCCATCTTGGCACACCAGTTCTAGAACATGATATCTTCGAACTGCTTCCTGTTGTCTGATATCAACACCTTGGGTAGTCCGAAGCGGCACACTATGTTATTCTAGAAGAAATTCTGCATGTTCCGGGCTATGATCGTCACCAGCAGCTTGGCCTCCACCCACTTCATAAAGTAGTCCATTGCCACGACCAGAAATCTCCTTTGCCCGGTTGCTGGTGGGAATGGACCAAGGATATCTATTCCCCACTAGGCAAAAGGCTACGGGCTGGTTAAGTACTTCAAATCAGCGACAAGCTGATGAAGGATGTTAGCATGCCTCTGGCAATTGTCACACTTCTTGACGATTTCGAGTGCATCCACTTTCATTGTGGGCCAGTAGTACCCTTAGCTTAGCGCTTTTTGGGCGTGCGCCCTACCCCCTAGGTGTCCTCCACGGAGACCTTCGTGGATCTTGTGCAGTATCCGGTCTACTTTTGAAGGCCGCAAGCAATGCAATAGGGGAGCATGAAGGATCTCCTGTACAACTACCCGTCAATAAGGATGTACTGGGCTGACTGACACTCTACCCTCCGAGCTGCATTGCGGTCTGCTGGGGGTCCCGTGGAGCAGATAGTCAACAAGCGGGTCGACCCAGCTCGGTTCTGCTTGCAACATAAGAGCAACCTCTTCTGCCCCCCCTGAGAATGATGGGTCGAGGTAGGTCTTCTATGTACACCGTCCTCATTGTATTGTCGCCTGTGCTCGCCAACTTCAATAGTGCGTTGGTCTCGGCATTCTATGACCTCGATACTTACCGGATGAACCAAGAAAGGAAGCCGGGCAAGAGTTCTCTCACCTTGGCCAAGTAAACCATCATGATAGGTTCCCATGCCTCGTACTCACTGTTTACCTAGTTCACGACCAGCTGGGAATCACTGCATACCATGACGTGCTTCACGTCGACCTCCTTCACCAAGTTCAGCCTGACTATCAATGCCTCGTACTCCTTCTCGTTGTTCGATGCCTCGAATATGAATCCAGCACCGCTTCCTCGCTGATTAGACGAGCCGTCAATGTGGAGGATCCAGGGCTCCTCATCCCAGATCAGGCCTTCCCTGACCGGAACTGGTGCCACTCTGGTTGACGCCTCCGACGTACTAGTCGGCTCAGACACCTTAGGGGCTAGCGCACTGAACATGCATTCCGCGATGAAATCCGTGAAGACTTGGGCTTTAATCGCTGGGCGTGGCTTGAACTAGATGTCATACTCGCTCAACTTGATGGCCCACTTCATTATTCTGCTTGAGACCTCGGGCTTCTGCAAGACGTGCCTTAGGGGTCTATTGGTGAAGACAATGATCGTGTGAGCTTGGATGTAAGGGTGTAGCTTCTGAGTTGCAATGACCAAGGCATAGGCCAGTTTCTCGATGTCGGGGTACATTGTCTCAGCTGCCTACAAAACTTTGCTTACATAATAGACGGGCCGCTGGACCCAGTCTACTCCTCTCATTAGTACCGAGCTGACCACCTCGTCACTCATAGAGAGGTACAGTCTCAGCTCGTCTCCTACTTCAGGTCAGGTTAAAATCGGTGGTATACTTAGGTATTTCCTTAGCTCATCAAATGTGAACAGGCACTCGTCGGACCATTCGAAGTCCTCATTCTTCTTAATTTCCTTGAAAAAAGGTAGGCACTGATCCACTGATTAAACTTTGCCCATCCTCGGGCAAGACAAAACTCAAGAAAAAATAAAACAAGAACAAACTAACTATCCTACCGATTTTTAAACTCAACTCTCATTCATCTTTCTCCACAAATATTCTAGGTTAACTATTGCAAACCATTAAATCAAAACAACCAATTCATACACGACTCATTCATCAGTCAATCCAATTCTTGCTACTACAAACTAGGTAGTAAACTAGGGAAAACATTTTCATTTCCTCTCTCTCTCTCTCTTTTTTTTTTCTTTAAAAAACATGGTGGAAGTGAGTGCATTTTATGCTCCATCTCACTTTTAGGATTACTTGGTCAGTAGGTGCATTTTATGCTCCGTCTTACTGTTGAATTTGCTGGATAGTAGGTGCATTTTATGCTCCATCCTACTGTTTGAATTGCTTTTGTTGGTAGGTGCATTTTATGTTCTGTCCTACCAATTGAATTGCTTGGTAAAATATTTACCCTATTTACTTAAACCTGAATTTAGGACTAGCTTAAAAGGGATGGTTTCAAATGGATGATGTACTCCTTGATCATATTTTCCCAGAATATTGTTTCAATTGATTTCAAAAGAGTTGAGTTTTTTTTTTTTTTTTTTTTTTTTTTTTTTTTTTTTTTTTTTGCAGAAAAGCACGGCCTAAATAAAATTTTAAAACACAACCTAAATTCTAACCTAAATACTAAATCCCCTCCCCCACACTTAAAACTTACATTGTCCCCAATGTAAGGTTAAATTCAAAGAAAGGGTAGAAAAACTAAACTAGAAATGTAAAAACAAACTTCCCTATTTTTAATAATCCTGAAATTGGATCCTCTAACTCTCGTGGTTGCAACTTTCGGTGTGCTCCCCTTTCATCCATCATGGGCGGGTTCAAATATGGAATAGGGGCCTGCAAAGCAGAGGGTAACCGTCTCTCATTAGAAATCGACAACATAATATAATGAGCATTACCTTGTCTTGGCTTGAACTCTTCTTGACCGGCCTCCAAACAGTTCAAAATCTCCTTAATTTATTCATCCAAGACTTGTACATTTTTACAAGAATTAGGAATGCAGCTTCCTAAAGGATCATCTAATTTAGATGCGTTAATTTCAGCTGCGCCAATACCAATGCAATCGATTGCATATATTTCATGTTCAATTGTGTTGGGATATTTCATGGTTTTAAATACATTAAACACCACTTCTTCACCATTGATTCTAAGGGTAAGTAGACCTTTTCGCATATCAATTAAAGCATTACCAGTAGCAAGAAAAGGTTTCCCTAAAATCAGAGGCATTGTCCTATCTTCCACCATATCCAACACAATGAAATCAGCCAGAATAATAAAATTGCCCACTTTGACTAAAACATCTTCTACTATTCCCCTAGGATATTTAATGCTTATATCAGCTAATTGCAGGGTAATAGTAGTAGGTGTTAGTTCATGCAATCCAAGTTTTTCGAAAATAGAATATGGCATTAGATTTATACTGGCACCCAAATCACATAAAGCTTTTTCAAATTCAGTATTTCCCTATGGTGCAAGGTATAGAAAAGCTCCCTGGATCCTTAAGCTTTGGGGGCAATTTATTTTGGAGGATGGCTGAGCACTCTTCGTTCAATTTCACCATCTCACATTCCTCCCATTTCCTTTTGTTCGACATCACCTCCTTCAAGAATTTGGCATATTTTGGCATCTGCGACAATACATCAAGAAGAGGGATGTTAATATGTATCTTTTTAAACACTTCCAAAAATTTCTCAAATTGTTTATGCATGTTAGCTTTCAAAACTCTTCCAGAGTAGGGAAGGAGAAGTTTAATAGAATCTAAATTCAGTTTAGGTGTACTCCCTTCAGTCTCCTTTTGTGAATCGGCTACTTCAGCTTCCTTGTCATCATTCTGGGTCTCGCCAATTGTCTTCCCACTTCTCAAAGCTATAGAGTTTATTTGCTCTCTTGGATTCTTCTCCGTATTGCTGGGCAGCCATTCCTCCTTTCTTTCCGACAACAGATTCACAATCTGCCCCATTTCGACTTCTAAGTTTTTGATTGATGCTTCTTGACTTAAGAATCTCTTATCATGTTCTTGGAGCTTTGCTTCAGTAGYATTGATGAACTTAGAAATCATTTCTTCCAAATTACTCTTCTTTTCTTGTGGGGGCGGCTGTTGTTGGAATCCCATGGGTGCTTTTTGCTGGTTGTTGTTCCATGAAAAATTTGGATGATTCCTCCACCCTGGGTTGTATGTGTTTGAGTAGGGGTTGAAATTTGGCCTGCCAGTATGAGAGATAAAATTAACATGCTCATGTGAAGCAAAAGGGTTACCTAATGGATAGTTAGAATTAGTATGTCCTATTTCACCTTAGAAATCACATGGGATGCTAGATGATGTATTCATTGCTGCAATATTAAAAGTATCAAATTTTTTATTCAGACTAGCAAGTTGAGCAGATATGGCTAGAAGGGAATCGATGTGGTGTACTCCCCTTCGATCAATTCGGTCATTACTCCACTGGTAGCTGTTCGACACCATCTCTTCTACTAGATCATAAGCTTCTTTTGGTGTTTTTTTCATGATTGTGCCACTTGCAGTTGCATCAATAATAGAACGATTAGAGGGGGTAATACCATTATAAAATGTTTGAATTTGACGCCAAGTTGGTATCCCATGGTGAGGACACTTCCTAAGCATCTCCTTGAATCGTTCCCATGCTTCATACAGAGATTCTCTCTCTAATTGAGCAAAAGTAGTGATATCATTAATTAATTTTGCTGTTTTAGAAGGTGGAAAATACTTAGCCAAGAATTTTTGGGTCAGGTCATTCCAAGTGGTGATACTTCCTGTAGGGAGTGAGTTAAGCCAATCTTTAGCTCTATCACGCAATGAAAATGAAAATAGTCTAAGCCTAATGGCATCATCACTAACTCCATTATGTTTAAATGTATCACATATTTCCAGGAAGTTAACAATATGTGCATTAGAGTCATCATTTGGCAACCCACTAAATTGAATACTTGTCTGAATCATTTGAATGATTGCAGGCTTGATTTTGAAATTGTTGGCTTGAATTGTGGGCTTGCAAATACTGGAAGTAGCCCCATCAATGGTTGGACAGGCGTAGTCCAAAAGGGTGCGATTTGCTTCTGCCATCTCTTCCTCAACTTTTATTGCTAGTTTGCCAATTTCAACATCCTCCCTCGTTTTGCCTCTTGTTGGCTCTTTGCAACAAGCGAAGGGTCCTGTCTATTTCAGGATCTAATCGTGCTAATCATTCTTGTCTAGTGCGTGTCATGCACTAGTGAATCTAAACATAGCTAGAATTCGAACAAATAAAATAAAAAAATATAAACAGAAATAAAAAGTCCAAATTAACCAAGGTTAACAAGCTCTAATATTATTTTTGGATTAAATCCCCGGCAACGGCGCAAAAAACTTGATAGCTATGATTATAACCCTAGCAAGTGCACTAGTTATCAAGTAGTATAAAAATATCATTCCTACGAGGATTTAACAAAATAAGTATTAGAATTACAGCCTTCCCTAATTATTTGGACAATCAAATTTCAGATTTAAGAGTAAAAGCTACTGAAAAACAGAAAAAGAAAACAAGAGCAAGAGTACCAATGCTGAAGTATGCAACGATTGACTGAATTCGATAGGACCTTTGGTCCGCCTAACCATTCCAATGAATGGTAATAGATGAGATTATACAAGATAACTTGTCATTCCCATAAGCTGAAGTTTTTCCAATTTTATTCAATATTCTTTCTCAAGATATATCAAAACTACTTMTATCAGGTAACCCCTCGATCTCTCGACTAGAGTTCTCAAGATAGAAATGCATTCAATTCATGGAAAAACTATTACATTCAGATGAATCATGTATATATACCCCTATATAACATTCAATTCACACTATGAATTATTTGGTCTGCTATATGAATTCTTCTCTTGATTCATTCACATAAACCAAATCAATTAAGAGATGGTCACTCCTAATAGCATTAAGCAAGATAACTCATAGATTATATGGAAATCACAATCTTAGAAAAAATCAGAATAAACATATATTCATTGTTATGATTAGGTTTTCCACAGCCCTAGCTACAAATAAATCAGTTCATACTAGAGGAAATAAAGCAAACAAGAGGAAAGAAAGAACTCATGGTATCACCCTTGGAGCTGAGATTTCCACTTCTCCTTGTCACCACCTCCTTCTTGCAGTCTTCTTGCTTGATAGATTGGTTGCTCYTYTGCTTCTTGATACMTCTCTAGTCCGCCCCCCATCCCTTTATATAGCTTAAAGGGGAGGGGGTGGTCTCCAACTCCTTCTTGGAGTTTATCTTTCAAAAATAGAAAGTCCGAGTCTAATCCTACTCTTATCTCTTTATCTAGTGAACTCAATCTCTTTATCTTTCTAGGATTACATCACAAATTTAAATTTGGTAGGACTCTTCTCAGTTTCTTGTTCTTGCATTCATATTAGGCTTCCACTGCGAATTGGGCTGCTGCAAGGCTTTTCTACAAGTTGGGCCTTCCTACGAATTTGCCCCGACTTCAGGACCAGATTTGACTTCGATTCTGGCCGAATCTGCGAAAGCCCAAAATATGAAAGTTGTAGCTTTCTCTCTTATCTTTCTAGCGAGTCTTGAATCAGCCCCATCAGATCTATGAGAGTTAGGCCCAGATTACCGAACAGTGCCGAAACTGTAAAAAATCATCCGATTTGCCTTGCTTTTCTCCTGATGTTTTTTTTCATGCCCTGAACCAAAATACAAGAAATATGAGTCCAAATAAGTATTAATTCAGTATAAAAGACTGAATATTTGGGGATAAAAATATGATAAATTTTATTCTCATCATTGATTTAGACCTAAACCAATTTAAGGCGGCTACCTGGCCGGTTAGTCTTTGCACTTCCTTTATGTCCCGAGGTGGTCACATATCTAGTATAGCCTTTATTTTGTCTGGGTTGGCCTTGATGCCACGTCGATTCACTATATAGCCAAGAAACTTTCCTGACGTGACCCTGAAGACACATTTATTTGGGTTGAACTTCATGTATATACTTCATTAGAATTTGAAAAACAGAACTTAAATCATCGATTAAAGAATTTGAAAACTGGGTCTTCATGACCATGTCGTCAATATAACATTTAACTTTATTTCCGATAAGTGATTCAAAAACTTTGTTTACAAGTTGCTGGAAGGTTACTCCAGCATTTTTCAATCCAAAGGGCATTACTTTATAGCAGTATAAGCCTAGTTAGGTTACAAATGCAATTTTATCTTAGTTTGCTAGGTCCATCATAATCTGGTTGTAGCCGGAGTAGGTGTCTATGAAGCTCACCAACTCGTGCCCTGGGGTCACGTCTACTAGGAGATCTATTCTGGGAAGGGGGAAGCAGTCCTTTGGCAGGCTCTGTTGAGGTCTGTGTAGTCGACGCACAAGCGCCACTCTCCGTTAGCCTTTTTCACGAGCATTGGGTTGGCCACCTTGCTCGGGTACTAGACCTCTTTAACAAAGTCTGTTGTGAGGAGCTTCCCAACCTCCTCATCAACTACCCTCAACCGCTCCGGGGCGAGAGGTTCCATTTTTTTTTGTCTAATTGGCCTAACTAAGGGATCCACATTAAGTTTATGAGTTATAATACTTGGGTCAATGTCAGGCATTTCTTACGCGGACCAAGCAAAAATATCTAAATTACTAAGTAAGAAACTTACTAGTTGTGACCGAAGTGGTTTGCTTAGTAGAGCGCCGATTTGGAGGGTCTTCGTCGGCTCGGCGTTAGAGATTGGGACCTGGACTATCTTCTCCATTGGGACAGCTCGCTCCTCTACGTGTTCGGGGGGCGGCTCTAGTTTGACCGATTATTTAATTCTTATATATAATATATAAAATTTTTAAATGTTTTATATAATTTATATATATAATAATTAAAATTATATAAATAATTTATATATTTATTAATTACCTAAAATAATTAATTAGTCGAATTCTAATTGAACCAAATATTTGAATATTCAATCTGATTCAAATTCGAATGGAATCAAATTTTTTAATCGGATTCAAATTCAGGATTCGAATTCAGATATTGTCTGATTCGATTTGAATTCAATCCGTTTACACCCCTACCACTAGTGGTTCTTTGTTTTTTTTCTCTCTCACCATCCCTCCTCTCTCTTCATCTTCTCTTTCTTCTTCCCCCTTTTGCCTTCTAATTCCCTCTCTTGCTTTGAAGTTCCATCTTCTCCACAACAAGCGAACATGGGAGAATTTGAATTGTTATAATATGGGCAACCAGTAGACACCTTAAAAATAGTGAATTGTTATAATTATCAATTTTCAACGGTTTTAGTAGGTTGAATTTGAATTATAAATACGGGCACCTTTGGAATCTTATATATATATATATATATATATATATATATATATATATTAATAGGATAGGGGTGCTCCCTCCGTGAGGAGAGCAACCTATTTCCTATATATAATTTTTTTGTTAAAACGGGTTGACCGTTCGGTTCAAACAGTTGGACTGTTTAATACAATAGCCGAATTCCTGATCGGTTTGATCTCTGGGTTAGTTTTGAAAATCATGATGTTATGTCATTCGAGCGTGTGATTTATAGGACTAAAAAATGGAACCGTTTTGGCCACTAGTTTTCAGGTTGATGATTCGACTATTCAGTTCGAACGGTCCACTCTGACAACAAAAATGAAAAAAAAGGCCAAAAACCATTGAATGGGTCAACGGGTTGATGGTTCGACCACTCGGGTCAATGAGTTGTTGACCAATTCAACGGTTTTTGGCCAGGGACCGGGATTGGTGTAGAACGGAACTGGTTGCCTAGACGGTTTCCAATTAAAAAAATAAAAAAATGGATGACCCGTTCTGACAACAAAAATTACAAGAAAAAAAATTGAGTGTGTGAGGTCCATTAAGTTGTACAATACGTGCTATGTCATTCGAGCACGTGACTCATACGACCTGAAAACGGAACCGTTCTGGCCACCGGTTTTTGAGTCAACGGTTCAACTGCTCAGTTCGAACAGATGGCTTGTTCTAACAACAAAAAATAAAAAAAAAATAAAATATGACCAAAAACCATTTAACGGGTCAATGGTTTGACCACCTGGGTCAATGGGCCATTAACCGATTCAACGATTTTTGGCCAGGGTCCGAGATTAGGATAAAACGAAACTGGTGGCCTAGATGGTTCCCAATTAAAAAAAATAAAAAAATGGCCGACACCACTGAATGGGTCAACGGGTCGATGGTTCGACCACTTGGGTCAATGGGTTATTGAACAATTCAACGGTTTTTGGCGAATGACTTGGTTAATGATTCCATTCCAGCCCCTGCGAAGCAATGCCCCTCTGCTAGTATATCTTTTAATAGGAAAGGGGTGGTCTCCTCTTTCGCCAAATGGCAGTCTTATATTTTACATTGTTTATTCTATAGGTTTAAACCATCATGTGAAAAAACAATTTTTTTTTTTTATAAATGAGTGAAAAACCTAGTCCATCTATTTTTCTCTTTCATACAGTATTCATCTCTCCCATCTTCAATGCTACATTCAATATAATAAGTAAAGAAGTAAAGATAATAAATAAAGCTTTCCTCAGTTGTATGCACTAAAAAATTCAAAAATTTTGGCCTTTTTGTTTTGGTGGTAAAACGGAATTGGTTGCTTGGACAATTCCTAATTAAAAAATAAAAAATGACGGTTTGATCGCCCAATTCAAAAGGACGACTCATTTTCACAACAAAAATTATAGGCAAAAAATTAAGTGTGTGAAGTTCATTAAGTAGTACCATATGTGTTATGTCATTTGAGCATGTGACTCATACGACACGAAAACGGAACCGTTCTGACCACTGGTTTTTGGGTCGACGGTTCGACTGTTTGGTTTGAACAGGTGGCCCGTTCTGACAACAAAAATAAAAAAAAGACCAAAAACCATTGAACGGGTCAACGGTTCAACCATTCGGGTCAATGGGTCATTGACCAATTCAACCATTTGGCCAAGGACTGGGATTGGGATAAAACAGAACCGGTTGCTTGGACGGTTCTCAATTAAAAAAAAAATAAAAAAGGCGAAAAACCATTGAATCAGTCAACAATTTGATTTCCTGTGTTAATGGGTCATTGACCGATTCAACGGTTTTTGGCTAGAGACCGGGGGTGGGGTAAAACGGAACCGGTTGCCTGGACGGTTCCCAGACCAAAATGTCTGTTCGTCCAGGTCAGTGGCGGTTCAAAAACCATGGTTTTTATGCTTTTGGATTTTCACTATTCAAAGGTTTCTTCTACTATGGGCTTTATTCGAACGTGTGCGATATGTTCCTTTTTTTTTCATTTTCTACTTTTGTTTGTTTGTTTGTTTGTTTGTTTTTTGTGTTTGGTCTTCTTATTTAAGATCCTCTAAAACAGTCTAGGGTTTACCACAATTTTATTTCTTCCTTTTTGTTTTTTCTTTAGGTTTTCTTGTGCAATGTTTTTTTTTTTTTTTCTTATAAGACGACCTGCTTTGTCACTTTCTTTGATTGCATGTATGTTTAGCTCCGTCAAGGTTCAAAATATCAATACTCCCGATATGTCGCTAGGGGCATATTGGGCATTTCGATACTTGTTATTTTACTTTTTTTTTTTTTATTTTTTTCCAAAACTAGTTCAGGGGAGCCGGTCTAGGACCCCTCTAGACCCCTCCATCCCCTGAACTGGTCAGACCCCCGATACACCCACTGTAGGGGCGTATCGGAAGGGTTCATGAATGATACGTATCGGTCGATACGGGCCGATACGTAACGATTCTTTGAACCTTGAGCTCCGTCTCAAAGCGGAACTTTGGACTCGATTTTCTGGTTTTTTTCCTTGGTTTTTCCAGTTTGGTGGATTTACCACCAATTTTTTCTATGTTTAAGGTCACTTTGACTTTATCTTTCAAGGTTTTGGAATCCCTTGCAATGTCTACCCTTCCCATGATTACGACTACAAATTTATTTCATCTAATTATTAACATCTAGAAAAAATGACCCGAAAATGGAACCATTCTGGCCATTGGTTTCTAGGTCAACGATTCAATTGTTTGGTCTGAATAGGTGGTCCGTTCTGACAACAAAAATTTAAAAATAAAAAATGGCCAAAAACCATTAAGCGGGTCAATGGGTTGTCCACCTGGTTCAACGGGTCGTTAACTGATTCAACGATTTTTAGTTAGGGATTGGGTTTGGGGTAAAATGGAACCGGTTGCCTGGACGGTTCCCGTGCCGAACGATCCTATTGTTCGGATCAACTGGGAGTTTTCGCTATAATACAAATGACAATTATGAAATAGAACTCAGAACTATCACTATATGATCGTATTCTTTTATATGAGATGCTTTGCTGAAACAATATTTAAAAAACGAGTACATGATTATCTCTTTTAAGTCTTTCTGAGCTTTTAAGACTTGAATACTTTAATTACAAATTTCTTATTAAGAAATTATTATTTTTTAATATAATAAATTGTAATGTTACAATTCTATGCATTCTAGCCCCCCTCCGCTAGTCCATATTATTGTGTTTATATGAGTGTCATGCAATGTAAGTGTTTGGAATACTTTTCCAAAACGTTCCAACATTACCTATGTTCACATCTTACCATGAGACTGATCCATTATAGTGAGATGTGTGGTTAGGATCGTACAATTGTGTATATATATATCATCCCTTACTTTGTGTTTTGTGAATATGATTTTTGGAAGAAGCACAATTTTGACGTTTTTCGTTACTATTGAAAGAGCGTATATGCATGCATACAGTAAAGAATAATATTTAGCTTGAATTTATAAATTATATCAAAATCAACTTCCTTCTTTGTTATATTATAAATAGTAGAAATTTTCATTTCATGTGTGTACGGTGCCTATATTAAAACAAATATAATTATGCATTATATCATGTGTCAAAATATTACCGTTTTAAAAGCTGGCCTAGAGATGGAACGACTAGCCACAGGTTTCTAAGTCAGCGTTTCTATCGTCCGGGTCTAATGGTTCGGATCAGTTACATTATTAGGGCAATTAGACTTTTAGGTAATTAATTTTTTATGGGAGCCCGTGGTTATGATCAAGAAAGAAAGAAGAGAAAAGAAAAAAAGAAAAGGAAGGAGAGAGAAAGAAATAAAGGAAGGAGGGAAGAAGGAAGAGGTGGAGCGGTGATGATGATAGCAATGGTGACGATAACAATAGAAACGCAGATCTCATATCTGAGATCCAGTTTTTCTCCGGTCTCCAACCTCTACAATCTTCTTCTTTTTCTTCTCTTTATTGTATATGGTATCTAGTGATATGAGATCTGAGATGTTCTTCTCTCTCTCTATTATATCCGCAAACTGCTATCTTGGTTTAACGGGTTAATGGTTCAATCGCTCGTATCAGTGGTTTTTTGACTAAGTTATTGGGTTTTGGCCTAGGAACGGGCTAAGGGTGAAACAGAACTGGTTGCCTGAACAGTTTGCGGGCTGAACGATCTGACCATTCAAGTCAAAATGCGATTCAAAACAATGTTCAAAGTATCAATACGTATTGGCCCGTATCGACTGATACACATCATATCGGGAACTCCCAATACACCCCTACAGAGGGTGTATTAGGGTTTTGACCGATTCAAAGTATGTACGAAAGACCACCTTAAACCGACCCCTTTAAACCGGATTTAAAAAAAAAACTAAAAAAAACTATCGATACGCCATGGAGCATATCGATATTTTGAACCCTGGTTAAAAACACTGCAAAATATTCTATTTTTCCAATATTTACTGCTTTAAATCATGTACAAACAATGATATAATATATATGGACACGTGTTGTGAATGAGTGGTTAATTTCAACCTGATTCCAGCTCCCATTGTCCTCCGGATTAATTATGGTTAGTGGTTAGTGGGTGGGTTGATTTTCAACTTACACCCGATCCATCCAATTGCCACCCCCAATTGATCCTATCAGTAAGAAAACCTTTTTTTTTTTTTTTTTGAGAAACTAGCAGTAAGAAAACCTTGGGTTTACATGTTCGATGTCGGGTGAACCCTGCCAACTTGGCCTGTCGAATTTTAAACATCCAAATACCCTTATCTTTTCACTCATGCTTAACATTTTCACCAATGAATTGGTATCGAAGGCTTGTAGCGGGCACATGACAAGTGACAAGATAAGGTCGGACAAACGATGTCAAAATCATACAGTTTCTGGTTGGGTACATGACAATTCAATAACTAATACCACCGCCGTGAAAGAAGCTTCTCGCCATTGGGTTGGTGCCAAATGGGTCGTATGACAAGGTCTGGTGGTTTTGTAAATTCAATCTTGATTAGTTAACAACACTAAATTCTAACCCACCTACGCTAGACAACCAATGGTTATAAGTAGTGTAGACGGAAGGGGAGGGGGATATGAAGAAAAGCCTAAAGTTATCAAGAGTCAAAAAGATTGATTGAAAGTTGAAGGTTGAAGCCTAATATCATCAGTAGTTCAGAGGTCAAGTTTTAAGTTATTAGTTTATCAACATGGAATCGCTGACGCGGAAGCCTCTGCGTTCTTGCCAGAATAAACAATTGGCCTTCTGGTTCTACAGGGTACTATCGATCTTTTATGATTCTGCTAAGAGTGTCATGTGGACGGAGTCGATGAGGGACGAAGCTCTAGAGGAGCTGGACTTGACTGAAGAAAATCTCAAGGTGGTGGACGTTGGAGGTGGCACCGGTTTTACAACACTGGGCCTCGTACGCCACGTAAAACCTGAAAACATTACTCTGCTCGATCAGTCGCCTCATCAGTTAGCCAAAGCCATGGCTAAAACACCCCTCAAAAATTCTACTTTTGTTGTGGGCAACGCTGAAGATCTCCCTTTCCCCGACGATTTTGCCGACAGATACGTCTCTGCCGGAAGGTACCTTAATTACCCTGTATTTTAATTACTAATTTCTACCAACCTCGCTATGTTGCTATTATTATCGGTTGCACTCACACCCATGAAAGTATGTATAGTTCCCTTTTCCCTTTTGTACTTAGATCATCATCAGTAGGTACTGTTATTTCTTCTTCATTTCATTCCTTCTTTCGGAGGTTTTTAATTGGCTTGGTAAACTTGGTGCACACAGCATAGAATATTGGCCAGATCCACAGAGAGGGATCGCGGAGGCTTATAGGGTGGTGAAGAAGGGAGGAAAGGCGTGTATCATAGGCCCTGTTTATCCGACTTTCTGGCTTTCAAAATTCTTCGCAGACCTTTGGATGCTGTTTCCTAAAGAAGAAGATTACCTCCAGTGGTTCGAGAAGGCTGGTTTCACCGATGTAAAGCTCAAGAGGATTGGACCAGAGTGGTACAGGGGAGTCCGAAGGCATGGCCTGGTCATCGGCTGCGTTGTCACCGGCACCAAGGCTGATCATGGTCCATCTGCTCTCGAGGTGAGTGACACACTCTCACGAGTTCCGGATCACCTGTTTAGCGAACCCGATGAACAGACAAAACACGTAACCTCTAAGCAAGGATGTAGGATACGAACGAATACCACTCGTCGAGTTAATTTTTCGACGTGTCTGCATATCCATACGAACGAATACCACTAGCGGCAGCGACCGCTCTCCGTCAGATTAATGCGTCCTTCTGTTATATATTTTATTCACGTTGTCTTCCGTTATTTATTCTCGTCTATCTGGAGATTTTGAATCTCTGACAACAAATCAAGTATTAACTCCATGTTGGGTAGAGATACTCGATTCAAGCGCCATGCAGCTGCTATATGTCTTGACACCACCCAACCAACCAATCTATCTCGTTAATATTTATAAGCTTTCAGACAAAGATACAAGAGAATTTATCTTCAAACATATGGTTGGGATAATTTCTAGAAGTGATTTTTTTTTCTTAATATTATCCTCTTTTAATACCACATGCAACCTAAATGCTTTCCAACTTGTCTAATATTAGATCGACAATACAAATTAAAAATTAATTAAGAGAGCTAAGCATCTCCCTTCAATGCTTTTAAATCATGACCTTAAATTTATTGCTGTGGCCCCACCTAGATGCATCTCCCTTCATCTAATCCAAAGTTGGGCCATTATCAATACATCAAATACTTTGATTTTATTGTTTCAGTGCAGCCTCAATCATGGTTATACTGCTTTTCTGCCTCTTTGGTCTAGAAACATGGTGCATAGACGAGGTCTGTGGGGTCGGTGATGCTCAATGTTTTTAAATTATATGCATCTCCCTTAAATTAAAAGGGTATTATTGCCTATTGGACAATATGAGTTTTATTTTCTTTTCACTTGTTTCTAGAATTATCATGTTAATAAAAAATAAAATATATCCTCTAACTTTTATTTTTTGTTATTTTTTTGAAATAGAGGTGCAACTTTTGGGGGTTGGAGTTGGGATTTTGTTAAAATTCAAATGGGCCCAATCCGAAGCTCGAACCCGAAATAGTGTAAACTGTTAATTTGTGTCAATTTGATTCTCATTTTTTAGAATTAAAAATAAGATGATTTACTTTCAAAAACAAATTATATTTTTGAAACTATTAAATTATGTTTTCTAAAAAATAAATTTTCACTCCACTAAGAATGATGTTCGGTTTAAAAAACAAAATCAATTGTGAAAACCTCAGATTCACGAGGTGTGGGTTTGCCGCCTTAAATTTTTCCTCTCTTTCAATTTTCATACTACCCAAATAGTTATTATTTATTATTTTTTGTATTTTTAGTCATTTCTTGATATGTATGATGAATATCAATATTTTTTATTTATTGTACTTATTTTTATTTAATATGATAAATATATAATACTATAGATATGATTAATTTTTTATATTTTTTATATAATTTACTTTTATATTTTATTATTTAATTTATAATATCAATAATTTGATCGTTAAACTGATAACCCGTCACCGGGAAATTAAAAGTCGGTATATTTTCAAGTTGCTGGTTTCAAAAATATAAAGGGAATGGTGAGACTTGATCTTTAATCTGAAGCCACAATTAAAGACAAGCCAACGGCACAGGAATTTTACGACTAATATAAGTCAACTGAATTAGGGGTCCGGAATCGGAATGGGTTATTTCGATTCATACTTTTTGGTTGGTGGAATTTGAATCTCATTTCTCATTCCTGCTAGTATTGTATTTGAGCAAATGATCATTCTCTGTTCTTCTCTTAGAAATAAAATATTATTCCTGCTTATTCTAATTTTTATTCACATTCTTATCTAAATCAATTAGATTATGGGAATAGACCATTTTAATTCTGATTCTAAAATATTTTGATTCCAATTTTAATTTTAATTCCAAACTGCAAATCAAAAGGAGCCTATAGGCTTTATTCACAATTGACCGAACCTCTGAGATTGAACTAATTAGACTCAAAACCAAATGAGATAGTACTAAAGAATGTGTATGTGTGTATGATGATCTCTATATTAATATTAATGCAGCTTGGGAGCAAAGTAGAAGAAAAGAAGGTGGGAACGGCGCAATTCATACTGCTCTTCATCATCGGTTACATTGCATCAGCATACTTTATGCTTGTACCACTCTATATGTGGCTCAAGAACATGTTCGTTCCACGTGGCAAATCCATATAGGTTATGGTTATTATTACTAGATGTATGCGTATCCTTGCAAGGTTGTCTCGTCGTCATTATCGTCTCGTCATGGTCAAGGTTTGTGGTGGTCGTCGTTTGTTGTTGTTATTGGTGGTGTTGAGCAGACGGCATGTTAAGTCACTAATAGATATTTAATTTGTTGGGGGATTTGGATTAAGTTTAGTTTTTCTCAAGATAGTTTTTATTTAATTGTTACTGGAAATCCTTGAGCGTTGTTGAGGAATGCAGACATTTGCTTTCTTGTAATCAAATGTTATCAGCTGTTTTTGTGTTGTAATTGCGCTGCTCACAAGCTCGCTACATTGGCTGTTAAGTTGGGGTGAACAATTCTTGGATTAAGTTCCCTTCATTTTGTGAGAAATTACTAGTGATTTTTCGGAAATATTTTTCTAAATAAGAAAATGACTATTTTAGCCATAAAAAATTATTATAAAAGAGACATTTTGTCCCATCCAAGTATTGATGACAATTTTCTGTGCAAATGGGTATCAGTTACCCAGATATGTAATGATGAGGACGAATTTGACCCTCCAATGACATTGTGACACATGGCATTCCGAAACAGCTAGACGCCACCTAAGTGATGATTTGGAGTCTCAAATTGTAGTTCGTCTTCGTCCCGACCTGGCGAGTTGTCTTTATTGCCAACCTAGCAACTTCGACCACAACTTAGGCCGGTTAGGAGCACCTCGTCTAGGGCTGACCTGAAGCACCTCATCATTGACCGATGTGACCTCGACGCGAAGAGTGACCTCCCTCGAGGGCTTGCCGACCCGACTGAGGTCCAGGAAGCGACATACGAGTTGTGCTTGCCAACAAAATTGGTATGCATATCCCGACACTCCCAAGTTTCTCAGAAGTTGGCCTACGTACCGAGTGTTCTGGAGGATGGCCAACATGCCTAGCGGTTACCTCCAGGGATCTTGGACTGGTTAGGCGACCTCCCAGAAATCTCGGATGCGGTGTGTGAAGCCCACGCCAAACAAAGCTTATATAAAGGCACCAACCCCAATGACACGAAGAGGTACGTGTGATTAAGTGCATTCTAGCTCTCTTACTTCTCAAACTCTCAAATCGCATATACTATTACTGACTTAAGCATTAGAGCGACCTCGTCGGGTTAGCCACCCCGAGTTCTTACCTCCCTTTCTTTGTAGTTCGAGCAGTCTACTTGGCGGCAGGCATTTGAGCTGCACTACAGCTAGGAGCATCCAAATCGCACACTATCAATTGGCGCCGTCTGTGGGAAATGCTACAAGAAACTAAGATCTCACCTTCTAAAAGGCTAAGTCCTCATCTTCCAGAAAACTAAAGATCTCACCTTTTAGAAATTAAAATTCTCACTTTCTAATTTCCATTTTTATGAACTCAAAGGCACTTTTGAGCAGCATCAACACCCATAACGAATACTGATTACTGGGGGCAAAAACATCTATGATGAACCTAGAGAACTCCCCTGTAACAATCAGACAAGTTCAGGCCGAACTCAGCATCCCCAGTGCCCCAGATAAATACCCCACTACCACATGTTAACGTCCCTTTCCCCGCGGTAGAGCCATCAGTAGTTCCTGCCGGGATCGAAGCGCGGCAGTTCCATGAGATGAAGCATGAATTTCTAGATGTGAGCATGGGAGTAGCTCGACGTATTCATGTCGCTGCAGATTAGGCAGCAGCAAAATGACCTTAACAACCAGCAGCCTGGCGACAGGCACCTCGGAGTAAGCTGTCCCTGTTGGTCGAGCTAGTTATGGTTCTCGCAGGAAGTTGATGACCAACAGACTAAGTAGCTCTTCCGACTTTATTTCAGCCCAGATAAGCCTCCTCATAAGTCCTCTTCGCGAGGTCTCCTCTATAGATTGAACCCTTTGTAGCTCCCGCGGGAGTTAGCAGCCTACGAACTATGCAAACCCCCTTGTGGGTCGAGCCCCTCAAGGCTCCCGAGCGAGTCGGCGATCTACAGTTAGTAGAGCTGACCCTAGAGGTTGCTCCTTATGCCTTCTCGTAGGAGTGGACAACCAACATCATTACGAGGCTGATGTAGCGCAGCCGTGGCCCCAAACTTCTGACTCACATCGACAACAACATTATGCCCTCGCAAGGGGGGCAAAACAAGTACGTCGTGGTCTCACAAGCACTCATGTAGGAAGATAATCCCACGAGATGACGTAGAAGTAGCCATATGAGAAGTTACTACAGAATGACCACCCGCTTCGGCGGAAAGGTCAGGCCGCACGTCGGCTAAATTAGGATAAGGAGAGTGGACTGCAAGTTGCTCTCAGAACTTAAGGGCTAAAGTTCCAAGATAATAAAAGACCTTGGCACTACATGAGACCCATTCGCCTCTTTGGCATGGGTAGATAAGTCCTAATCGCCTCTTTAGCATAGGCGTGCTATGTCCCAGTCGCCTCTTCGACATGGGCAAATAAGTCCTAATCGCCTTTTCGGCATAGGCGTGTTAAGACCCAGTCGCCTCTTCGGCATAGGCGTGTTAACCGAACCATGGCACTTTTTTGTAAACCGAACCGGTGGTACCGGTTTTTCCAATTCTCCAAACCGAAATCGAACCGATACCAGTAGTTAATCGGTCCATCGGTTTCAGTTTTTGACCGGTTCAGTTCTTTGGTTTTTCGGTTTTTTATATTTATAATATATATTAAACAAATATATGTATAATATTATATAATAAATAATAAATGATATATAAAATATTATAAATATTTGAAATATATATAATATATTTATAAATATATCATTATAAATACAATATAAGTATATATTTATATATAATACATAGAAAATATGTGACATATATTAAAAATATATATAAAATATACATAAAAATATATATACCGATCGGTTTGGTTAACCGTCGGTTTTTTTTAGGTTAACCGAAAACCGAACCGATCCTTCGGTTTTTCAAAATTCCCAAACCGAAACCGAATCGATTGGTTTGATTAACCGCATTTTGGGGTTTGGTTTTCTCGGTTCGGTTCGGTTTTTTGGTTTTTTATGGACACCCCTGCCTAAAGCCTAAGGGCTAAGGTGCTGAGCTGATAAAAGAGCTCGGCACCACATAAGACCCAGTTGCCTCTTTTGCATGGGCAAAATAAAAAGCAGTTCGCATTCATCACGAGAAAGAGAACAAAGGAAAGACTAGTTTGCTTTTAGCACCATGACAGACGCAAACTTAGTCGATCTCTTCATAGTAGACCTCCACCTCTGTTTCAGGCTCTGCATCGAACTCGCTGGCTACTCTTTTGAGAACCAGCTCGAAGGAAGTTGCATCGAAGTCTACCTAGGTGGAGCGACTTGATAAAGCAGTCACACAGAACCCTCTCTTGAGGATGGCATGATAAACTTCGCTCTTGAGGTAATGGTCGGATTGCTGAACCCCTTGACGGTTCCATCCCTAATAAGGAAGATGTCCTCGGGGTACCTGCATCACCTTTCCTCGAACGGATGAATTCGCTCTCGTGCCCCGATAATCAAGACGACGAGGTCCTGCGTAAGGCTGCAAACACTTGGACTCTTCCGACTTGAGAAGCAAATTGGACCGATGCTTACGATTAAGAGCTTACCAAATCAGTCATTCCGAGGCAAATGGAGCGATCTACTCCCTTCGCCGAGCTACTTTCAGCTCGGGAGTGGGGGGTAATTGATGAGGGCGAATTTGGACCTCCAATGACATTGTGACACATGGCATCCTGAAACAGCTGGATGACACTCAGACGCCACCTAAGCAATGATTTGGAGTCCCAAATCGTAGTTCGTCTTTGCCCTGACATGGCGACCTGCCTTTACTGCTAACCTAGCGACTTCGACCACAACTTAGGCTGGCTAGGAGCACCTCGTCTAGGGCCGACCTGTAGCACCTCATCATTGGCCGATGTGACGTCGACGCGAGGAGCGACCTCCCTCAAGGGCTTGCCGACCTAACTGAGCTCCAGGAGGCGACTTGCGAGTTGTGATCGTCGACAAATTCGGTATGCATATCTCAACACTCCCAAGTTTCTCGGAAGTTGGCCCATGTACCGAGTATTCCAGAGGATGGCCAATGTGCCTTGCGGTTACCTCTGAGGATTTCGGACCGGTTAGGCGACCTCTCGAAAATCTCAGATGCGGTGTGTGATGCCCACGCCAAATAAGCTTATATAATGGCACCAACCCCAATGACACGAAGAGGTACACACGATTAAGTGCATTCTAGCTCTCCTACTTCTCAAACTCTTAGCTCTTATATACTTTTATTGACTTAAGCATCAGAGCAACCTCGTCGGGTTAGTCACCCCGGGTTCTCTGGTACCTCCCTTTCTTTGTAGATCGAGCGATCTACTTAGCAACAGTCGTTCGATTTGCCCTACAGCTAGGAGCATCCAGGTCGCACACCATCTTGTAATACCTAAGAAAAATAAATTTTGCATAGACCTCACATAAATCCAAAAAAAGAATATGATCAGTTTCTTAGTCAATAAGAACAAAAATCTCATTGAGAAGGCCCTAACATTATCCTCCCCTTGTGATTGAGGGTGTTCTTTTTCTTAATGTTTCCACAAAACAACATTTAGGCTAGTTTCATTCTTCAAGAACCAATGAGGATTGAGTAATGGAACTCGCCTAAAGGCTGTTTTATTGGAAAAAAATTAAAAAGAAAAATGCAGAGCAAAGGAAGATTCCAAACCCTATTACATGCTTCAATTCTGAATCCAGGTAATTGGATTTATGGATACTTAGGCCCTGTTCTCTTTTTGGTAAGATACTGACCCGAGTAAATGCAATTACCTAGGTAAGTTTTTCCTGGGAAACATTTACCCAAGTAAGTGCATTTACCCATGTTCTTTAACTTTTTATGCAAATAAGAAAATGACCATTTTAACCATAAAAATCCATTACTAAAAGGGGCATATTTGTCCATTCAAGCGTTGGCAACCCCGTAGGTGAGAAAGTTATTTACCCACCTAGGAGATAGATCCAGGAAAATAAACTTTTCTTGATCCCTACATAAATCTGAAAAAAGAACATAAAATTCTTGGACAATGAGAACTAAAATCCCATTGACCAACTTCCCCCTCTCAAAATCCAAAAAAAAAAAACGTCCCCTAACTGTTTCTTATAACTACACGTTTTTTATTGCTTTGTCTTTCTTTTCCCTTTTTTTGGATAAGCAAACTCTCAAATTCATAATCCCTTCTCTAAGTTTCAAATTTACATACACATGGTAGACCGCATACCTCTTGGCCAAACCATACAAACATCATCCCTACCAGTCATTTAAATTATTTAGAGAGAGAGAGAGAGCAGACATTCCTCACCAGCTGTTTTCTTCTGATTATCTTTATACCTTTTAACTCCCTGAGCGCCAAAAGAAAATTAACAAAAACAAATGAAAAAATAGAGGCACCACAAAGAGAGAAAATGGTCCACATTCACCATGGAATTCTCGCAACAAAAACCAATTTCAGTGCTAATTACAGCAGTTGGTTCAGTAGAATCATGTAAAGCGAAAAGAAGCAAGAAGGTAGCCGACAGAACAGAAACCCAGCATTTCAGACTTTTCAGTGAACTTGGTTGATCAGTACTGTTTTGTAGTTACAGAAATAAACTAAGATGGCTTGTAATATTTTGTAGGAACAAATGGCATTTTGGTGACCACACCATCATAGGATTTTCCACGAATTACAATCTTCACCTTTGTTCCTGCCTTGTGTGATCCAGATTTTACGTAACCCATGGCTATGTTCTTCTTGAGGCATGGACTGAATCCACCACTTGTCACTTCTCCAATGCCCTTGCCTGTACCATCCACAATCTCACTGTGGCTCCTTGGAGGTGGGCCCGAAGAGAAAAAACCAACACGTCTGATTGATGGACCCTCTTCAAGTTGTTTGAGGATTGTCTCAGCACCTAGAAACCCGCCTTCTGCTCTTCGTCTTTTTCCAATGGCCCATGTAAGCCCAGCTTCTACAGGGGTTATGTGCTGTTCCATGTCATTTCCATATAAACAAAGTCCAGCTTCAAGCCGGAGACTGTCACGAGCACCCAACCCAGTCAACCTTATTTTCCCTTCGGATTTCTCCAAAATTGCCTTTGCAAGATCCACTGCATGCTCTGAAGGAACAGAAATTTCAAAGCCATCTTCGCCAGTGTACCTGAAAAAGTGTATGCAAAGTACTGAGATGTGAGGCAATGCCCACTATTCTTCTTTAATAAAAAGTAACACAGAAAAAAATCTTAGTAAAGGGGAATAGCAACTGGAGATAAAACTTGTATGTTATGTCATTTTGACACCTTTGGCATCAAGTTCCATAAAATGCGACCACGGAACTTCCTACAGAGAACAGAACTTTTAGAAAGAAATATACAAATTCCTTCATTTACTGAAATGGCATTGCAGTATAATGGTCTTTGACAACTAATGATGGCTGGACAGCTGGACATGCCCTTAAATAATTCCGAAAGCCTATCCAGTATTTCATCATAAATAAAGATTTGTGGATCCATCTAGTTGTCAAAATTTTTCATTTCATATTTTTGGGTAATAATGTTCCTTCTACCAATAACAAAAACAGCACCCGGCACTTGTTTGTTTTTTCAGATAAAATAAGTTTTATTAAAATAAAAAGAAATTACAAGGAAGATGATAAGGAATCACCCGAGAGTAGGCCATCAAAACTCCCTCTCTTTCTGGGTATGGAGGAAGGGACCCTGCCCCTTACAATATTGGAGTGACTGAACAAGATATCCATTACATAAAAAATTTCAATGAATGATTTGATTGTCATCGCCAATCCCTATCACCCAGTTCAGCTATATTGAAGAATCCTATAATTGCACTAATTAATCATCCAACTGATTTGGCTCACCAATTAGTCATAGACTGTGACTTGGTTTCAGGGGGAAAAAGGAGAATTTGCCAATCTCTTTGTACCTAGGAATAGAAGTAAAGAGATTGCCCTACTTAAAACCCCATACATCCCAAACCCAGCAGGATTGGAGTCCCTACTGCAGCAGTCAAAGTTGTTCAGGTTCTGCTATTATGTAATTATGAAAAAACCTTTCACAGTGTCACTACAAAACAAGATTCATGAATGTTTTACTCCTCCAAGAAAAAAAAAAGACAACGCTATTAGAAGTATATGCAAGATGTATTTTTGGTTTCTGAAGATTTTTGAGTATGATGAGAATAGTGACTCCTTTTATGGTGGTGAGACTACAACATCCATTAGTTTAGGGATGGATAAAGAGATTCTGTCCCACTCCATGTTTTTGTTTGTTTTATTCTTTTCAGATTTTACAAGAAACCATTGAAGTTTTTACATCTCTGATTTCAAGGTAGTACTCCCTTATTTTCCTTGGCCATAAGTCCAACTCCAAGCACCACCGTTCGAACTAGCTTGAAGTCTTTACCCCTAAATCAGTTACTCTATTGGTAGGATCATAGAAATGCTTAAATACATAAGTTCACAAATTCACGGAGACAATTGCTCTAAGCAGCAAAGCCAAACTCATACAAACAAAGATGGCAATGAAGGGAAATGGGTACTTAGCTCAACAGAGAGAAGAAAATGAGCTATAGCTGCCTCATCATGTATAGTCAGCTGTAAGAAGAAACCTATCTTTTTTGGTAGAAAACTGCAATCAGAAACCAAAGGAAGCAACATACCCAGTTCTAGTAATAAAGCAGTGCACCCCATTGATATCTATCATTCGGAATTCCCCGAAGTATATCTTGCTCAAATCATCTTTTGTCAAATGTTGGAGAACAGGTGCAGCAAGTGGACCCTACACCAGATCCAAACACAAAATGGTAATAGATATCACTAAAAGCCAATAGCCAATGAGATTGAATATAGAAACGAAATTGGCTGCTTAGGCCACTTCCCCCAACACCCATGGAATGCTAATAAGTCAGTATATTTATTTGCTAAATTATAGAGGGAGCAAAGAAAATATCAATTGTAAATATTAAACTTTAGTCTCTAATGTTTCAATCTTATTTTTCCTTCTTTTTGAAGTAAAGTTTTTACAACTTGCACATAACAGAAAATTAACCATAGTTATTTAGCATAAAAACATGTAAAAACAGCATTAACTATGAGGCAGTTAAACCTTCAAACATAACTTACAAAGAAGGATAAAATAGCTCTCCTATGATAGAAGAACCTATGAAAGATGAACAGAGAGAGTTTCCAATACAAGATGGTAAGACAAACTGACTGTGGCTCAGTTGGTAGGATCTCTGACTCGTTGTAGCAGAGACCTGGGATCAAATCCTGCTGCCACCGGGGTTGGGGGGGGGGGTTAAGGGGATGGGGTATGTGTTACCGCCTGTTGTGTAGCCCCATTAAGATTTAAAAACACACACACACAAGATGGTAAGAGTAAGAAACAACTGTTTATAGTAAGAAAACTCGAAAAGATAATTATTTTTAAAAACACCAAGGGAATTCAGAAAATAAAAGAACCGTTGGTCAAAGAACAAGTCAATCAGAAAAGAACCAATGCTAATTCCAACCAAAGAATAAAACACCATCAAATAATTGTTCAAGAAACACGGGAAATCAAGCGAAACTCTAATTTAGAAGGAAAAAATGCCGAAATTGAGAACTACTTGAAGGATCAATCCAAGTGCAGAGAGATCGAAAAAAGATTACTAAGGACATCCATGACAGAGGGAACAACAGAAATGCAAAAAGTAAATAATAAGGGAAAATCTATGATGCGGGAAAGATATGGTATGCAAAGAATTTTGACCAATTAAAACCCACCCGTGAATTTTGATAAATAACACCTAATTCGCTACCATGTTTATGATTCCAGTTAATTGGTCGGATGTTTTTCGGATATCATATCTTTTCCATATCATAGTTGAACCCAAATAATAAATATCAATATCATCGGCATTAACCCCAAAGCTAGGGATGCCAGCAGCTCTTTCCTCTATCTAAAACCATATGTTCTGTTGAAGTATCAAGTCTTAAAGAATACTTGATAGATATGTCGTCATTAGATGAACCCAGGTGCCATAAATAAAATTGATAATTAACCTGGAGGGCAAGAAGAGATCTCTCATCGTGGATGTGCCACGTGACATCTCCTCCTTGGGCCTTGAATGATTTCATGTGCTCCTCAATGTGTGCCAGGTCTTTATCCCTACATCCCGCATTAACAACCAGGTATATGTGATCATCCTTCACCTTGGTGATGACAGAATCATCAATTGCCCCTCCCTTCTCGTTCGTAAAGACAGTGAGTGTCCCAGTCCCAGGAGCGAGCCCAGCAACATCAGCAATTACGAGCTTTTCCAAGAATGGGACGCAATCCTTACCCTTAAGACTGAGACCACACATGTGGGAGACGTCAAAGAGGCTACCTTTCTCCCTGCAATTCAATGTGGAGTCCATGATTGAATCCTTGTATTGAATTGGCATGCTCCATCCGGCAAAGGGAACCATCTTCGCGCCATTGGCAACATGGAAGTCGTGGAGAACTGTCTTCTTGAGTTCAGCTTCAGAGGCGAAACATCGGCGTGCCACAGCCTTCTTATCAACCTGATTAAGGCGACGTGTGATGATTTGCCCAAGCTGCCAAAGACCTCCACCTTTCATCTTATTGCACAATAAGAAGCTGATGTATTACCAGAAAGAAACAGATAATAAAACACATTAGAGAAATGGATAGTGATCTCTAAACAGGTCTTTCCAACACATCCAGAAATTTGAATTTGGAAATTGTACAACTTTCACCGCCTCCACCGTCTCCCTTTCGTGGGGAAAAAGAGAAAGGAAAGAAGAAGAATAGATAGATATATTGTGGTCTTATAGTGTGTCTGGAAACAAGTAAAAGCACTTGAGCAATCAGAGTAATGGTTATATGGGAATACACTCAGATCCACTAAAACAAAATCAAAGAAACATGTCAGAGCAATCAGAAGCGTGTAGGTGAGAGAGAACCATGGAAAATGCAAGAAATATAATCAAATCGAGGCAGAATATCTTGACAAGCCAATAAATTACGCAAGTGTCTATTTGTGTATAACAGTAAACTTGGTGTACTATAAAGGAAGCAGGCACCAGCATGAATCATGTGAAAACAATCACACAAAGCTGTTCGATGGATATCCCAACAGATAATGCAGATCAAGAAAGGAAGTAAACGACTTACAGAGACTCTTCTCTTCCTCAGAACAAAGCAAAACCCCGAAAGCAACGCAGAAATCAAGCGGAAAGCATCTGTTCCTCTGCTGCAAGCATGGAGTTGGTGAAACACTATTTTTATTATATTTATAGTAATATAAAATTGAGATGTTGGTGGTGTGTAGTGGGTGGCGGAGGATTCCTCAGCCAGATCGAGACAGGTTACCCCCATCGTTGGTGAGTGGTGGTGACCATCTCTGTGTACGTGTGTTCGATCGGGTTCGCTACTTTGTTTTAGTCTTTGAGATGGTTGTTTTAGCCTTTAGCCGATTCGGAAATCGTATTTACGGATTTATGGTTCCAAACACAATTTTTTAGCAAATAATGGATAACCCCCTATATTTTTTGGGACGCGACACGTAGGCCCGTTTGTTTCATGATAAATCGGAGGGGACCAAGTGACTAACGAGAGTTGGGATCTTTTGTCAACAAAACCGTTTCAACCCAGATGAGATTAGGATCCGACATGTATGAGATGTGCGGTGTGAGATCAGATTCGTAAGTTGTTAGAATGTATTTTATTGGTAGGTGATCTAGACTCGATTAAGGATGGATCGTAGAGAGAAAATTAGTTGAATGCAATAGTTGTTTAGCATTATGGGTTCCATGTATTTTATAACTAGTGTAGGGCATTATCATTGATCCATAACTTGCTATTAAAGCATTCACCTAATCCGAATTTTGGATTCCAAAGAGCATTTTTCATAAGTACTAATACCCATCTTTTATTTGGGTAAATGAAATTTCCAAGGAGAGACTAAATATTGTAAACTTTTTCCACTAAACACGCCTTTATAAAATGAATTTATCCAAATAAATTTTATTTAATACTAAAATTACCTAGAAACAGTTGTATGGGTAAATGCAATGAACCTGTGCAAATAAATATTGACCACATACGATATATTGTATTTAAATTTTACTTTTAAGGTTATGTTTGATTTGAAGGAAACAGTAGAGAAAGTAAGGGAAATGGTGCAGAGTAGTGTAAAGGAGTCGCAGAGACGATTTTTAGTAATAGGGTCGAAATCTTTCAACCTCGTATCCTCATTAGGATCTGAAGGAGAGCTGACAATTACAGAACGTAGTAGAGGAGCCTGGATGAGGATCTCCCTAAAGGAGAATGAGGTAAATTGGAATGTATTTCACTTACAGAAGATATAGAGGAGCGGAAGCAGTAGGAGATGCCATTAGAACCCAAAAGGCTTGCCAACAGAGGAAGGGTAACCCTATTCCAAGTAAAAGAAAACAAATGGGGAAGATTCATTAGACTAAGCCACTAGGAAGGAACAAATAAAACAAGAAGTATGTGCGTTCCAGAAGAGGCAAGCAAAAATGGTTGGTTAGCTTTTTTATAGAGCCTGAGATCGTTTCTTGAAAGCAAAACAATGCCAAGCCATGGAGTCTCATCACAGGGAAATTTTCCACCATTGGAGAAAAACAGTAGTAAAGTGGTAGTAGGAGGAGGTTCAACTTTTATCTCCATTGTCCATCAAAAGGGGCCTTTCGGAATTTGGAAGACAGCTTTTGTATGTACCAAGTCCAGAGATATAAGTTGGAAAGAAGGGGAGTTGGGATTGTCTGCAAACCTCCACTCTGTTGACTTATTGAAGTTATATCCATTAGACAGTAACAGAGCTGTGGACTAGCTTAGAATCTTTCTCCATTTACAACAAGGGGGTCTCGATCGCTTGTTGGTGGCGAACTTTAGATACAATTCCAGAGAAACTATGCTTTGACGGTTGGTTACTGATACACGGTCTCCCCTTTCATCTCTAGAAGGAAGAGGTTTTTTTCCCTGAAGCCTCTGTGGAGGCCTTGAGGAAGTCAATCCTAAAACAAGGGACTTGGTGGATTTGCGAAGTGCTAGGACAAAGGTCGAAGGAAGAGGGGTGCATGCAGTTCCACGTTCAGTACTAGTTCTTGACGAAGGGGTGTGGTTCCGTTGTACCATGGAAGTGGAGAAGATGAATGAGTCACCACAACACGAAGGAGCCGAGTTGACTCAATAACAAGCTACGGTTACACGTGGCGAGACTAAGGAGGCTGATGCAACATCTGCCCACAAAAAACTTGTGAGTGTGAGACAAGTTTTGAAATCCTCAAAAGGTAAGATGGTTGTAGAAGGAAAACTCAAGGAAAGTAATTTGGAGAAAGGAAAAAGTATTCAAAATTTAAATGCAAAATCAGTTGAAGCAAAACCAACTGAAACAAGGCTCGTTACAACTCCTAAACCGAGGGTCAACCAAATACCCAGTCTCTATATTTTCTCTTTCCCACGCCCAAGAATTTGGGTCTAGTTAAGATGAAATTGGCCCAGTTGTCTCTAGTAAACTCAGCCCCTGATAGCCTGCCCACCAGCCACTCCTCTTTTCGAAAACGGTGAGATTCCAATCACACCCCAATATGCAGATAGTTGCACAAGAGATATCAATCGGCCTCCAATGCCAAACAATAGTTCTTCGATGGAATCAGTGGAAGATCAGGAGGAAACCTCAGATTCATACCTAAGCTCTTACGAATTAGAGATTGAGATTAATGGTTGCGTGGTGGCTCTGGAAAGAGCTAAAAATCTGTTTGGGAGAGAACAATGGAGAAGTGTAGACATTCTACAACCCATACTTTTGACAGACCTTGAATATGGTCTTTCTGACTCTGGACACCTTGAAAAGGGAAGGAGTTCTGATCTCCTAGCAACTCCAAATTCTTATACCACAGGACAATCTCTGAACCCTTATCCATCTAGACCTCTCTGTTTTCATTCTTCCTCTCCCATTTCCCCTATTCCTGATAGTGTTTCGTGTGTTAATGGTGTCATAGGTCAAAGTGACCAACTATCCCATCCATCAGAAGGTTCTTACGATAGAGGGAACATCTCTGAGTCTTGTTGGAAGAACAAGCAGAGATGTTTCCATGCCACAAAGTAGTGGAATGAAAATAACGAGTAAAGAGGGATGTATGGCGGTGGCTCAGAAGCTTGGGATAACTTTTGCAGAAAGCAACAAAGAAACCAACAAGCCTCGTGGAGCGTCAGAGAAGGACAGAGAAAAGGCAGGGATAAAAAAGGAACAAATAGGGAGATAAAATGACTCCAATGGGGTTTAGTCAACCAAAGATCCTTCCATCTAAAGATCAATACTTGTGGAAGTCTTTCTAAAAAAAGGATGACTTAGAAAATATCGCTATATGTGTGCTTTCTATTTAAGGCTGATATAATATTAGGTGTATGCCTAAAAAGAATGATATGAGGGAAGGAGGATGGATAGAGGGTTAGTGGAAGGAGGCTTTGTGGAGAAAGCAAAATGGAGGTCAAAGATTTTCTCTTTGAAGAAATACAGATCAAAGGAAGAATGGGACTGAAAATAAGAGAACAGAAGAGGGCTACGGTTCTTGTGGAAGGCTCGGACATGATTGTCTGAGTGAAGGAATATGTCTTTGATGCAGCAACTAAAGAGAAACAGACAAAATGGAAAGAAAAGTTCAAATAATCAGGAGATATGTGATGAAAGGGGAATGCAAATGGTGCATTCATATCTCTCACTGAATATTTTTCTAAAGGAAGAATGGCAAAGGATGGATAAAGATAGCTGGAATACTAACAAAATTCCTAAATAGAAGGGAATAGAAAAAAAAAAGAACTATCGGAAAGTGATGAAAGGGAACTAAGACCAGAAACTAGAAGACAGATCATGTATAAGGAAGAGGTACCAGAAAATAAATTTTTAACCATGGCAAACAGTAGGAGGGATCCTTCCTGGATAGCAGATGGAACAGCAGGAAAATGGGAAAGAACACTAGTGGTTGAAGCTGGAGGATTGGTGGAAAGTTGCAGAACTACTGAAGCTCAAACTGGAGCTAAGAAGCACCTTCATCTTAACTCCGTTTGATTCTGCTAAGGCAGTATTGGACCCTCTCGAAAACCAGGTAAATGTTAGAGCATGCTGTATCCAATATGTTCTGGGGACCTTTTCAGTCTATAAATGGTCTTTTTCTTCAAACTCGAAAGTGTTCTTAATGGAAGATAATGTTACTGTCCGAGTGGTTGGGCTGCCATTCCATCTCTGGAATCAAGAAACTGCAAATTCAATTGCTTTGCTGTGTGGAGCTCGCCTTGATGGTGTCTTCTGGGGAGATCTACAAAGTGCAGCCATTCTACTGGGTGGAGTAAAACCAGAAGATATACCGAGGAAGGTGACTGTAATTGTGGATGAACTGTTCTTACCAGCTTGGTAAGTGTCCTCCATTGAAGCTAACCTTTGGAGGGAGGCAAGGCAGGAGGAAGACGAAAAGGTGGAGGAAATGGAGTTATGTAGCAGCTTGAAGTTGGTTGGAAAAAAGAGACAATGAAGTTTCACTGAAATGGAAACTCTACCTTTAGACAGTCCAAAAGATTTGGGTCAGGAGACTATTAGGAAACACAAGGTAGAGGTTTGACAACCAATAGAACCTTTGCTCAAGTAGCTGCTTGTGGCACCAAACAAAATATTTTGAATGATTTAAATGAAGGGCAGAGATATTGGTAGCATCAGAAATATGCACGGGAGTCCAACCAGTAGACCCATCTCTAAATTGTAATTTTGGGCCCAATAGGCCCGAAAAGTTAAGTGGGCTATGCTTAAAAGACCCAAGAGTGAGGGGGGCACGTGACAACTTAAAGGAGCACGTGACAAGGTTGGCTCCTCAGGTAGACAATAAAATCTGTCTACCATCGTCCTCCTCAAGCTCTTTCTCTTGTTCGAACAGTTCAGCGAAGGTCTCCAGCTCGTTATAGTGGAGACCCTCGAAGAAGATGCCGCATAAGGAACAAGATCGTCGTAACCTCAGGAGTATGAAAAACAATGGGGTTCTCGACTCTGATTCGAAAAGATTGACAGATGATGAAGAACTTTCTGATTCCGATTCAGATTTGGAAGAAACCATTAGCTTGGGAAGTATCGACCTCCAAAAGCCAAGAGATATACTAGAAGAGGGTAGCCTAAACACTGAACTGTTATTCCTAGAGGAGGAGATGGATTCGCAAGATTCTGGTAATATCAAAATGCAAAGA